GAGACTAGCGAGTCTGTCCAGAGTGGATGATAGTTTTTTTCAAGAGGCCCTTGGAGTGTAGGCTTATTTCAAATGGGAGGCAATGGGGAATGTTATTTATGTGAACCAAGCTCCGAGTTTCCTCCAACTATTAACCCAGTCTGGTCTTTCACCTGGGAAGAAAAATCTGCTTTCTGAAAAAAATGAGGGTTTAGCCTAAGAAAAACTGTACTGACCTCTCTTTCTAAGCCCTCTGAGTTCTCCTCTACCTCTGATGGAAATGGAGTGAGTGGAGCCCAGAAAAAAGGGGATTTTATTAACAGTTCCACGAGAGATTAGCATTACCCAGTATAGAGCAGCATGAAAGCAATTGTCCCAGCTGGGTGAAACGAAAAAAGTAAACTCCTTCCAAGGAAGAGAGAGGGTTTGGATTGAAACTCTTTTTCTTCTGGTCCTTTTTTTTTTTTTTTTAATCCCCTTTACCTCTATATAATATCATAAAAAGGAGATCCTTCTTTGAGTCATACTATCACACACACACACAGACGCACTGTGCCCTCCCCATCACTTGTACAAACTGGTTTCATAAGAAAACCTGTAACAAAGTGTCTCCTCCCAGGACCTCATAGCCTTCGTAAATAATAATAATAACAACAATAGAAATAGATTATTATTGTTGTTATTATTTATAGCAAGAGAAGTAGAAACTCTGAAAGGGAAAACTCAGGTCCCAGGTTGTTGAGGAAATCAATGACAAAAGTGGGAACTGAGCTGCTCCGATCACGCCTCAAGCCCTTAGAACTCCCTGCACCGCAGCCAGTAGCCCAACCCTGCTCGGACTTAGCCCACGGATCCCTGCTATTTTTTTTTTTATGGACTATGAACTTTATTAATCAGAGAAGCTATTAGGCATGGGATCCTTTAATTGGCATATTATAACCCAGGTTCCAAAGCGATTTCTCACACCTGACTTTGTTTCCCTAACTTCAGAGATTCCCAGCCTCTGCGAGGATGAGACAAAGGTTAGTGGGTCCTCACTTGAGTGCCCTTGTCCTTTTGGTTTTTGTTAATGGGAAAACTCAAGAAAAACTTAATAGGAGAACGAATTACCATGAATGCAATGATTTTTAAATGAGTGTGTATTTTACTGGTCGTAACATACATTTGAAAACTTGTTGCGCATATGCGCAGGGTCAGTTTAGCTCTCGGTGATGTTTGGTGAGATATGGATGCAAAGACCCCCCCCCCC